TCCAGTTTAGATCAGCAGCACTTAAAAATATTATGCACTGCTCATCAAGTATCTTCTCTAAGGCTCAGTGTCTTAAAAGAACTAAAATGCTCTTTGGCTCTTTTCCAAACAGAAAGTCACCCAACTTGCCTATCATATTCATTCAATACATTTTTAGTTAGTGCCTGTTATCGGTCAGGTTCAACCCTAGTCTCTGTAGGCCACAGGCTGAGCGGGGAAGGCTGTAACACAGGACAATAGTTTCTTATTCGTGATTTTGCTCTTTAAGGTTTTAGTCGCTCATGGTCAACCATGGTTTGAAAAATAAACTAGTAAATTCCAGAAATAAACAATTCATAAGTTTTTAAAACGCCTTTCTGAGTATCTGAGTAGCATGGTAAAATCTCACATTGTCCTACTCTATTTACCCCAGGACCTGAATCATCCCTTTTTCCAGAGTATCCCCTGCCTGACAGTCATTTAGTTGCATGCATGCAACTATTTACTTATTTATTTATGAGATATTTTTGCTGTAGGGCATGTGTGCTTGTTGGAGATACAGAAAGGGACAGAGAAACAGACAGCAAAAAATTCACTCCTGGGGGGGAGGGGGAAGGATGGCCATGCTATAATCCCTTCTCCTCCATTCTCCTCTTGGGATCTTGAGCATGCACGCACACGTGCCTGAGTTTAATTTGCTGGGTCTGGTACTTGAACTGTGGTTGACTATGTGGGAGTCCAGCAGTGTAACCATTCCGCCACCTGCTGGTCCCTCATTTATTTGCTATTTTGGTTATCACATCGAAAAAACAGTGTGTATGTATGCAAGGTTTGGTTTCAGGCATCCACTGGGGGTCTTGGAATGTATCTTCTACAGATAAAGGAATAATATTACTGTATAGGGGTTTCTCCCTGGCCCCAAAGTAGGTGCCAACAACTCTCCCTTTCTTTCTCACCCGCAGTCACAGAGAAGAACAACTCACCCTGCCGTTTACTTCTCCTCTCCACCAGCCATTTGCACTCATCTTTGTGTAAATCTTCACCACATCTCCTTTCAGCAAGGACAGTTCTCGCATATCTCTTGCACAGAAGTCATACCGAGCGATGGCGATGCCCAGCACTTTTGGACTTAACACTGTAAAGAAATGATAGGGTGTCAGAACTGATTTGCAGCTAGTTAACAACCATAAGAACTGAATCAGACGAGTGCGATTGATGTGATCAGATGCACAATTGTGATTTCATTACAGACCAGTGAGAATGGCAGAGGAGCTTGAAAGCAGCAGAATTGCTGTTTCAATTCAATCAGGTGTAAGCAAATTCATTTCATAAAGCTTAAAGGACCACTGTTCAGTTTTCACCTTCTTCACAAGAATTTCAAAATAAATGAGCTTTTGAAAATGGACAAACAAAACATCTGGTTAATATCTAAGTAACTCTCTAACTGGGGCCTCTGAGGGGAAAGTTTGTTTTTAATCTAGTAACCACTTCAACCCATACTCAAAACAACTAAATTTTTCTTCTGATGAAAATCTCCTGTCAAATCCATGTCATCACACCTAGTTTGGGGGCACATTTCCCACTAAACAGGTTTCATATATTAAAACTATTTGAGGATAACTCAGTTATTGTCTTACATATAACTTCACTTTCATGAAGAAATGTGAATCAGGCTGCCCAGAAAGAAGACACAAACACCATCCATATATTTTCTGCCTTCTAGATAAATATTGTCTTACAGAAAACCTTTACTGAAGTAACCTAATAGAAAGAAGATGTCAGCAGTTCATCTCCTATGTTCAGAATTGTGGTGTTTTTTGTTTTTGTTTTTGTTGACAATAGGGAACAAGCTAACTTTCTTCCTGTCCCCCTCTACCCTATTCTGAAAGGAAAGTTTTACTCAAGCTGTAAGTTTGTCAGCTTCTAGCATTTCATAACACATTTTACGTCAACCCCTCTACCTGTTGCTCTTTGGGGTTATAAAGCATTTTCAATTATATGTTCAGTGATTCTGAGAATCACTCATCTGAGATTGGTTGAACTTTATAAATCTTAAATGGTAGAAGAACTTAAGTGAAAGGAAAGGAGACAAATGGGAAATGCCATCCATCTGTGTTTTGAGCAGTTTCCAGGCCCTGGGTAGCTGCGGTTGCGAGCCGTGTTCTCTTGGAAGAACTGCCCGATTGACTCAGGGATCTCTGGCCTATTATTCATGGCTTTGTAATGACAAATTTTTTTTAGTCTCCAGGTGTCAATCATACAATAAATGAACAGCAATGCTGTCGATTTCAGGACTATAAAGGGAGTAAAAATAGGTCATTTTCTTTTACTGTTCAGGACAAAAACCATTTTTATGATTTTCTTACTGAAAACTGTCCCATTGCTAGGGCACTACTCTGACAGTCAGTGCACATAAAAACACCCCTGTGTGGAAAAACCCAATCACCAACTTAACTGTGCAACCTTGTTCTGGTCTCTCAACCCCTCTAGGCCACATTTTTCCCACTTAAAAAATTAAAGGTTTGTATTAGATGATGTCTAAGGTCATTTTGGTTCTAAATGCTATGATTCTATTGGGACTTACAGGTTAATTTTTTAAAAATCTGTAAGAAAAATACTTTATCTACCTGTAACATATTCCCCTAAATGTCACATAAAAAGCCTATTAAACTCTGGCTAATGACAGAAGTCAAGACCAAAATACCAGCGTACAAACCCAAGAGCTGCAGAATTGATGGGCACCGGTCATCCTTGCAAACAACATATACTGAATTTTATTATGTTTGAAGACAAAGTTGAACTATTTATTTTCTTACTAGAAACACAGACACGCTGGTTTTCAACTAAAATTTCTGATCCCCAAGAAAAATAATGATTTTACAAAGTATTTTATCCGCCTTTATACTTTCAGCCTCCATCCTTCTCCAGCCTCTCCCCAAAAGATAAATTACAAAATGTCTTACTGAAATATATGGTATGAGCACACACACACACACAAACCAGAGACTTGAAATGTCATGACAAACAATGACTTTATGACAGAGAAAAGTGCATGGTGACAATGGAACTCTAGGGACTGTCTATGAGGAGATGTATCTATATGAGAAGCCATACATAGAAGTCAAAATATTTTATTTGCAAACAGAAGCAAGTTGAAGAAACATATAAAAGCAGTAAAGCAGTACCTGACCAGAAAGGAGTGGAAGAAGGGGGAACAAAGCTGTAGTCTGGAGGAGTTACAAAAGAAAAGCCACAGAACAAAGAAGGGGCTTAGAGAAAGAAAGAAAAAGAGAGAAGCAAAAGAGTATTTAGGTTTAGTGAACAAAAATCTCAATACAACCATTTTGTTGTCTGTAACCATAACAAAACTGTCACATCAAAATTGGAATATCAAGCTTTGTTTTCACCCACTTCTCTCCTAACACCATTTCTAAATGAAGCCAAACTTTTACATTTGGTAGATATTTGTTCTGCAGTTCAGAGCTATCTATTCTTTTGTAGGCAAATATATCATACCCACTCCACGTTCCATCTTTGAACCCCATCCATCTAAGGATGGCCTTCTCTTCCTGATATGCTATCCAGTTCTCATTCTGTTACATCAGTTCAAAGGGGGAGCCTGTAAATTCTTAATCCTATTCCTGCAAAATATTCTTCACATCAAAACTAGGACAAAGAAGTAAGAGCCTGTAGGGCAGTGTCAATGAAACATCCAGAACCCACGGAAATTTCAAGAAAACCACTCATACAATTCATTAGGCATCACCCCTCTCCCCACCTTCCCCTCCTCAATGAAACATGCACATGCCAGCTTATTTTCAAAAAAGGAAAAATTCAATTAAAAACAAAACCACTCTTAATCTTACCATGTATGGAAAAGAAAGTAAATAGATTCTTCAAATTGTAGGAATGTACAGAGAAGTTACATGCATTGCATGCTCAAGATCTTTTCACTTTACTTTTGATAATAATTAATGCTATTTGTCCAATGGATCTAAAGTATCAGCTATCATCTTCAATGTATTAGATTCAGTATTTCCCCTTTATAGCTGAGAAAATGTTGCATTCAAGATCAGGCAGTTTGACTCCAGGGCCCATGCTCTTAACTACAGCTGTACTACTTTGCATGTACCATTTTACTTCAGGGACCTCCACAGACACCTCTAAAAACCAGCCATTACAATGGAAAAAAGGTGCAGTCATAAGTGTTCTCCCAAAGTTTATTCTCCTCCTTCTTTCATGTTTTAGATTATTCAGTTGGGCTATGTTTGGGCAGAGGAAAGACTCCATGTCCCAGCTTCCCTTGCAGTTCAATATAGCCATATGACCAAGTTCTGACCAATGGAATATAAGTCAAAGTATCATAGTTTATGGGACCTTTCCTTACAAGAAGGCAGGCACATACTTCACTCCCCCCCCCGCCTTTTTCTTTTCTTTTTTTTTTTTTTTTTTTGATTCTTTACCATATCCTAATATCTGGAATATAAAAGCTATGATCTTGGTCCACAAGACAAGAAATTCTCACCTTTAGGATAACGGAGCTTGAGTATGAAGAATCCTAGGCCACTAAAGATTTCCATGGACGGAAGATGACCTTCCCTTCTCTCCTGCCCTGGGCTGACTACTTACATGTTTTCATGGGAAAGAGAAACAAATATCTATCCTGTTGAAGCCAGTGGTTTTGGGTTTTTATCACTTGTACATGGACCTAATGTGACTTGTTGCAAAAAGCTTTCTACAAGCAGGGATGTAGTAAAAGTGGGCTAAGAGAATTAGAAATGAGTTCATATAATCTTCCAATATATTCTGCCTCTTTCTAGGTGATTGCTAAACTTGAGAGTCACCGAAATTTTCCTAAGTTAATACTTTCTTCAGGAAGAGGTTCAAGGAATACCTAAGAGTATCAGTGACTCTTAATCCCAGACTACATCTAAGCAGATTGGCCAGGGGATTGGAAGGGGTTCAGTTGTACATGGAATCATGGGACCTTGGAGCCCTCTACACATTGATGCATCATGACACAATTTTCTCATGAACAGCTTTACACGTTTACTTTGCACCTACCTTGAAGCATATCCTTCTTGATTCTCAAGATTCTTTTCTTTCTTTTTTTTTTTTTTGAATGAGATTTTTGCTATAGGGTATGTGAGCAAAAGAGAGAGACAGAGACAGAAAGCAAGTAATCACCCCCAGGGGGGGAAGGCCACTCTGCAATGCTTTCTCCTCCATTTGCTTCTTGGGATTTGGGGCATGCACACACATTCTCCTGGTGTGAGTTTCAAGCTTCCAGGTTTGGAATTCAAACTGCGGTCAATCATGTGGAAATCCAGTGATGTAACCATTACATCATCTGCTGGTCCCACAATTCTTTACATCCATATTACATCCTTTTTTTTTTTTTTAATTCAAAATATGGTGGTACATGCCATTACAATGAATTTTACAGACTTCCCAATTCACTTACTGCCATGAGTCGAACTGGTTTGTTTTCACTTCCTTGAAAGCATGATATACCCAGTGTTGGAGAGAGGCAAGATCACCTCAATTTAGTGAAGTAAATGATACATGCCTAACTCTTACTAGAGCTGAAAATGTGGTGCCAAGATTTCTATCCCATGTCTATAAGAATTACATTAGAGACCTTCATTCTATTCATGGCTTCTGGCAGGTATTAGAATTTTCTCAATCTATTTTTTTCACTATACATCCTTGATTCTCTCTTTGGGACTAATTTATCCATAAAGAAATAAAAGAAGACTATACTTCTCCACAATTCCTAATGAAGGTTATTTAAACCAAGAGTCTGAAATATAATAAGATATAAATTAGTTCTGGATGAAAAATCAATGAAAGCACAATTAAATGTAATTTAAATAATCTATAATAGGTAGATAAATTAGATAGTAATCGTTCTATAATCTTAAAATATCTAACATTCCTGAAGTAATAAGAGAAATGCTTCTCCAAAGGACCCAAATCTGTTTTAATTACATAATAAGGATGTTACCATTGTCCCTTATCTAACACTAAAAGTGTTATTATTTACATTCATGTCAAGTAGCTAAAATTAGAATCTTTTTCGATCTTACCTAAAACATTTTAATTCTGAGTAAATAGTATTTAGTCCTTATAATT